AAAAAAAAACAAAACAAAACAAAAAAAAATTGTTGTTTATCAGGAAATTCCCACCCCCACCCCCAAAATTAAAAGCTATGAAGAAAAGGTGGAACTCAGGGAGAATCAGGATCTTGTCAAAACACAGTTTTATCAAGTTAGATCAATCCTAGCATCTGTGGAAGAAATAGAAAGAAGAGTAAAAGAAAGAAAAGAAAAATTTTCTTGTATGTGTGTGGGTTGTGTGTATGTGTGTGTGGTGGTGGGGTGCATGCATATGTGTGTAAGTACGGAGGAGGCCAGAAGTCAGGTGTCTTCCACTGTTGTTCTCTACTTTATTAACCGAGTCAGGGTCTACAGCTGAACTCAGAGCTTATGGATTTCAGCTACTGTAGCTAGCTGTCTTTGCCCACTCCCCCACCCACCCCCTCGCTGGTAATAGAGGTAACCACCGCGACTATCTGGCTTTTTCGGTGTGGATTGTGGGGATCCAAAGACCAGTTTTCATGCTTGTATGGCAAGCACTCCCTCCATCCATCCATCACCAGACTAAACTAGCTAAACGAAAATGAAATTTAAGCTATACGGTTTTGAAATAATTATAGAATGCTTTGCACATCTTTATGACTGAAAAATGTTTCAGTATATTATAGCTAACCTTTTGGAATGGGACATCGAATGTTCAACTTTGAGTGGTTGGTTTTATTAGCCAGGTGGCAATGCAGCTGTGAATAGATTGAAGGAAAATTGGCCTTTGCAGGAACTACATGAATGCGGGCTCATGGTATTTTAAAGCAAACCTGGAGCACCAGCTTTTCCCCTGGCCAGGGATATTTGGATGGTAGACTCTGGTTATCATATTGTGAACTAGAGACAAGCTAGATTAACTTTTAACCAAGATTCAAGATATCAGCGAATGTCCCATGCTGGAAATGGCATCTAACTCTGAGCAATGAGGTCATACTTGCTGTGTTACCTATTACAAAACAGTTAGCTTTGAGACAGAGGCTCAAGTGATTCACATATGCACAGGAAATCCTTGAAAGGTCTAGGTGACCATAGTGCATGAGCTTGTTGGGTTGCTTCCATGCCCTTGGTAAAGGATCAGATTTATGGAGGTAGGGATCCTAATGCCAACATCATGGTAAAAGCAGTCTTAGAGGACATGAGTCTGAATGGACTGGAGCTGAGTGGATGTGGAGTCTAAATGGGAGCTGGAGCTCCCCACATAAGTCAGATATACATGTATTCCACCTTTGTAAGTCATTGTTATTGGAAGATGTGTAGTGAGCCTATGTAATTCTCCATCAACCTTGACCCTCTCAACCAGCTTGATCACAGACAGGCTAGGTAGTTCATCTCCCCAGCTTAGCACTGAGTCCACATTCATGGCTCTCCACCTGGGTTCAGCAGTCCTGAGAAGTTCAACTCCTTGGATGACTGGAATTTCTCTAAATCAGCAGTTCTCAACATATGGGTCATGACCCTGGCGGGGAGGGGGACATTGAATGACTCTTTCTTAGGGATCACGTAAGACTTTTGGAAAACACAGGTATTTACATTATGGTTCATAACTGCAGCAAAATTGCAGTTATGAAGTAACAACACAAATAATTTTATGCTTGGGGGATAACACAAGATGAGGAACTTTATGGTAAGGTCACAGCATTAGGAAGGCTGAGTACCGCTGCTCTAAATAGTCCATGTTTTTAAAGCTGTCCCTTCTATGGGTTCCGGGCTACATAGGTGGGCTCTTCCAGGGGCTTAACAAGAACAAGGAATAATTTGTTCTCTGATTAATACTGATGTCCTCCAAGGATTTCAGTCTACTAGAACTGAAACCAAATATTTCCTAAAATCATCCTTGGTTATAAATTGATGGCTGTGTTCAAAAGGGAAATAATTAATAAAACAAGATGTCACCATTAAGTCAGAATGTATATGCACATATGTAACAGAATACCTAGCATGTACAAGGTCCCCAGATTAATTCTTAACACATACACATAAGTACATGCATGTGTGTATACGTGCATATATACATAAGTACATGAATAAGTCCTTAAAATACTGTGGTCAGTGACTTTTGCCTACTTATTCTTTGTTCACATGGCCATTTGGCATAGTATTATAGTCAACCTAAAGCCAAGCAGTGCCCTGGCTAAATAATGATGTCTTAGTTAGGGTTTCTATTGCTGTGAAGAGACACCAGGACCATGGTAACGCTAATAAAGGAAAACATTTCACTGGAGACGCTTACAGTTCAGAGGTTTAGTCCATTATCATCATGGCGGGACATGGCTGCATACAGGCAGACATTGTGCTGGAGAAGGATCTGAGAGTTCTAGATCTTGATCTGCAGGCAACAGGAAGTGAACTGTCTACCACACTGAGCATAGTTTGAGCAGAGGAGACCTCAAAGCCTGTTCCCATAATGACACTTCCACCTACAAGACCATACTTACTCCAACAAAACCACACCTCCTAATAGTGCCACTCTCTTTGGGGGGCATTTTCTTTCAGTTCTTCACAAGTCACTCACTGCTTTCAACAGTTTGCAATTAGAAATTCCAACAATTAGAAATTGGAAGTATTTCTAATATCTTCCTTCTAAACATTTACTTGATTATAAGAAAAACTTAGAGCTAATGATCCCCTTTTCCTCAAAGAAAAAGTCCTTTTTTTTTCCATTTAGAGATAAAAATAAATAAACTTTAAAAAAAGGTTTAAGCAAATATTCTTTTAATCATAAAATGTAGTAAGGATCTGTCTTTTTATCTTTTTCCATTTTTCTTCCTTTCTTCCTTTTTTTCCCCCTTTTTGAAACAAGGCCTCACAGTTTATCCCTGGCTTGCCTAGATTACATTATCTGTGTCAACCAGACTGGTCTTGAATTTGCCGAAATCTTTTTGCCTGTCTCCTGAGTGCTGGATTTAAAGACATGAATCACCAAACAGGCTCCAAATGCTTTATGTGTGTTCCATTTGTCTCCTTCCTCTCATTATATATTTAGATGAAATGAGAAAAGATTTTTGAATCTTTATATTGGGAACTATCAGAACCTGGCTTGTAATTTAATGTGTCACAGACACGGACGGCGTAGATAGTATAGCTTTGTTGATATGACTGTTTCTCACAGGGCATGTTCCCTGTGCCAAGAGTCAGTCTGCCTTTCTTTGGAAGTGAGAATTGTTTGATCACACCGGATGGTTAGGCCACAGGAGTGTGTTTTTTCATTGTAACTGGCAGCTGGCACTTCCTCACGTGGCCGTCCTTGTCTGTCAACAGGGCCCATTTGGAGGCCAGTGCCGAGAAGTGGAACAGGTTGCTGGCATCTCTCGAGGAACTGATCAAATGGCTCAATATGAAAGATGAAGAGCTGAAGAAACAGATGCCCATTGGAGGGGACGTTCCCGCCTTGCAGCTCCAGTATGACCACTGCAAGGTAAGGGGCCTGTCTCTCACAGTCTTCTTATTTATTCTAAGTTCAATCTTGGTAAGCAAATAGAATGAAATCCTAGAGAAAAGGAAAGTATAAACTAATTACCACAGCTTTCCAACCCTCTTTGTCTTTTGCTTGTCGATATTTTGGCATTTTATTTAATTATATTCTTTGCTTCCATTTCTTTCATGTTTCATGGTTTGTTCATATTTAACTGAAAATTTTCATAGTGCAGCTGTCCAAAGCAGAATATTGTTTTTAGTTCATCACGAACCTTATCCATCTAATAAATTTCTTTGGATATCAGTATATTAGAAAAAACTTTAAACTACAAATTATCCTTTATTTTCATGTATGTATGCATGCATGCATCCATCCATCCATGCATTTTAAAGACAGGGTCTTGCTTTGTAGCCCAGTCTGGCCTCAGACTCACCAAGTAACCTAAGGTAATCTGGACCCTGTATTGATCCTTCAGTTTCAGCCTCCAAGTGCTGGAATTGCAGGGAAGTGCTTGATACTGCACCTGACTGTGACTTAACTCTAAGTGCCAAAGTCATGCCGTCAGAAAGAATGTAGAGCGGTCTGGTGGGATGCCTGTGTTTCCAACTCTCAGAAGGCAGAAACCGGTGGGCCACTGTGAGTCTGAGGCCAGCAAAGGTGACATACTGAGACCCCCATCTCAAGTAAATGATTAAATACATACATAAAATTACAAAGTAGTTCTAAGAATTTAGCTTCACGGTAGAGCACTCGCCCAGTTTGCCCAGTCTTATTTTCATCTTGTTAATGGAAATAAAAGTAGAGAAAAACTGTAGGGCAGGTTTCAGTCCTGTATCAAATGAAGACCGCAGTGTGAAATAAAAATCATCTTATGTTTTAGTTCCCTAAATGTCCGTCTCTCTTTAAATTAGATTTTTTTCTTCTGGACAGACATCCATCTCTATGCACGCTTGTGCTTTTATTTTGATGAATGTACTATTAATCCTGAAGTGTCATCTGACATTTCCCTCAGCCCTTATATGTTTAAACATCTTCACCTAGACCAAGTTCTGTTAATTTATTTATATACTTTTATATTATTTTCTCATATATGGCATATCGTTCAGTTCTGTTGTAGTTCCCCTACTCATATGCAGTATGAATTCCCATTCAAAGTCTGTACATTTTAATACAACATTGTGTGCCTGTTCCCATAACAAATGAATACTAATATATGCCTTCCTGGTGCAAGATACCATCTATTTAATAAGATGTTCTAACACATTGATAGGACCTTGAATTTTATTTCATTCTGACCCTTGTGCTAAGTGAATAAAATTACTATTTCAGTGAAGAGAGAACACGCTGGGGAGATAACTCTGAAATAGAAAGACAGATGTCTATTGAGCAACAACAATAGTGGAGTTTAAATTAGTAGCTCTATAAAAATCAGAGCCCCCCCCCCTTTTAGTTGTTTGCTTGAGATAAAATCTCTCTGAAGTCCTGGAACTCGCTCTGTAGACCAGGCCATCCCCAAACTCATAGAGATCCTCCTGCCTCTGCCTCCTGAGTCCTGGGATTAAAGGTGTGCACTACCATGTTCGACTCTCCTTGTTTTGTCCCAGCTTTCTTCTGTGTCGTGATGATTCCCTTTCTGCGGTTCAGGTGTTGGTAAGGAAATCAAGTCACACCACGCTTCTCTAACAATACTTAGTGCTCTGTGTGTGCAGTAACTCTTGCTTGTGACCGTGTCTTGCTAGTTTTGACTATAACTCAGTTCTTAGATAGGAAGTTATTATCCTCACAGAACCTTGGCCGTGGCCCAACAGTGAGCCCTCCCACCCAATCCTGTTCTCTTGCCTGTGACTCTTGGTGGTGTTGCCTAGCTTTAGAGCCCATTGCACTCTGTCTTATAGAACTTCATGGATTACTCTGCCTTAACTCTTTAGCCCCAGGCACTGACATGATCAAGATAATGCTGACAGTGAAGCTGGTAACAATGTCAGTTCCATCCCTCTGGAAGTGTTTATGAGTGACAGATACACACTGGGTACTATTCCCGTCACTGATGAGTCAGTGCTGAGTAACAACCAAGTTCTTGTGGCTGGGAGTGTCACTCAGTAGTGGAATGTTTCCATCACGTGCAAGGCTCCTGATTCATCCCCTAGAACCACGAAAACGAATACATGAAGATGCTGGAAAGATTGCCCAGTGGTTGAGAGCACTTGCTCACTCAGGCTTGGTTATTATCACACACATGGATGCTCACAACCATCCATAACTTAGCTCCAGTTTCAGGGAATCCAATTCCGTCTGTCCTCCACAGACACCAGGTGTGCATGTTACACATATAAAATAAAAATAAAATAAAAATTAATAAATCAGAAAAAATGAACAAATAACTGAAAACCCAGTTCTTGACTGAGATGTCATAAGAGTAAAAGGAATGAAGAGTAGTTGGTTTCTAAATACATTTAGAAAGAGAAAAAAAACAGAATTGGTGGTGTCCTGGAATGTAGGAATTGAAAGGAAAAGACTCAGGCATGTCTTGGGGCCAAAGTGTTTGGACGAAGGAGAAGGAAAGCAGAAGTATCATTTAGACAATGGGAAAAATGATTGAAGGAGCAGCCGGGGCAGGAACATCAAGACCTTAGCTGCTGTCCATGCTCAGTAGAACATTGGGTATGCAAACTTGAAGTTAGGGGAAAGGTCAGAGCTAGAGAAAAAAAAAATTGTAATGCAAAGATCAGGCCAGGATTGGATGAAGCCTCCTAGGAAGAGATCACAGAGAGAAAAACTGGAGTGTAAAAAGTGGGCAGCGAGCAACCCAAATTTTACAGGTCAAGGAGTTGAGATTGAGATGGAGCACAGAAGAACCCAGGGAGAACAGAATCTAGGACACCAAGCAAAGTACTGTACTGAGGGCATTGTGGATACAAGGACATAATACTGCTGAGAGATTAGGAAGAGGACAGAATGTCAGACACCCTGAAGGCTCTCTTGTTGCCTCGAGCAGGAGGGAGTTTAGGGACGTGATGGAATTGAAGCATGATTAGAGGAGAATCTAGAGAGAATATAAACAACTACAGAAATGTATTTGGGAAGACTGTACAAGGAAGGACAGAGTCTAAAGGAGCGGGTGCCGGAGGACTGTGCGATCCTATAATAGTTTTATAAACACAGAGCCTACTTCTCTTCATTGATGGAAATGACTCTGGAGAGCAGAGAAAAATCAAGGATGTTGTAGAGAAGGGCTGCGGGAGAAATGACCAGATAGGGCCCATTGAACTACCGGGGAAGTCAGGGAGTTGAGCCATTGTAATAGCAAAATACATTAACTATATAGGCATGGATGGGAGTCGTTTGCTGGACTTGGAAACATGAAGAGGTTGCTAATGAAATGAAAAGCAAGATCATGGGCTGAGTAGAAGAAGAAAGAGGGCTGAAGATGTTGCTCAGTGGTAGAGTTCTCACCTAGTATTCATGAGGCTCCTGGTTCAATCCCCTAGCACCAAGCTGGGGAGTGGGCAGGTGTAGGAGGGAAAGGATGTGTAGATTTGAAAAGAGCAGAGGTAGAAAGTGTGGTCTATCAACTGATATCACCTCAAGCTTTGTGAATTATACACAAAGGAAAAACTTAAGAGAGGAAATTAAGGCTAAAAGTCTGATTCTTCCATGTTTTCTCTTTAGGTTGCGCCATTTGCTATGCATTGTAAATGGGGGTGAAAATTAGAGGTGCGTTGATTCCTCCTTGATGTGAGGATAGCAGTGTGTTGGGTAGCTTCCTGGGCCTCTGTGTTGACATGGGGTTCAGGGTACACTGGGTTGGGTTAAGGGGTAGCAGCTGGCTGTTTATATGTGTGGTAGTGTGGGTGAGAGCTATGAGCAGACACTGTTTCTGGGGTGATGGTAGAGAAAGCACCTTGAGCTGAAAGGCGAATATGTTCCCTTCAGAACTGGCTTTGGCACTGCCATCCTGGGTGACTCTGAAAACGTTAGCTGACTTTACGCAGTCTGTACTCTCCACACCGATGGGATGAGCATAGGGGATTTGATGACTGGTGGGGACCGACATCTGGTTCAGAGAGTATTTATCTCCATCCTTACATGGTGGAAAGAGCTTCTTCATAAGAGGCTGAATGCCACGCTTGAAGCTTCCTCCCTCATGATCTACTCACCTCTCAAAGACGATGTCTCCTGCTACTATAGCTTTGAATTAGGATCTCGACACGCTGGTTTTAGAGGAACACAAACACTCAAACCATGTGAGTACTCCTACCTCCTCTGCAGAATGATTCCGAATGGAATGACAAGAGTTTTTAAAAACGCGACGTGCATCGGGCAGTATATCATTTTACTCAATTACATGTGTTCTGTCAAAAGCTGCTTTCTTTCCCAACAACCAAGAGTAATTATTAAAATGATGTAATTATACATATGGCGCAGAGGGGTATGATTAATATTAATTTACATTTATATGAGTGCACGTGATTAGAATTCGAGCATAATCATTATGCATTATTTACGGCACAATTTAAAGGAATATGGTACTTGTTGTCTAGTCATTTTCTTGACTGTGACTCATCAGGGGAAGGATTTGTATCGCTGCTCAGTTTCACGGCAGGGAAGGTATGGTGATATTCAGAATGGAAGTAGCGGTTCCTGCCCATGGCAGTGGTAGCTTAAGCAGCTTGCTTCTATCTCAGCAGATGAATAAACAGGTTGTCCCAGATCCCTTCTCAGTTGCCATGATAAGACACGGACCCAAAGCAACTTGGGTACGAAGAGGCTTACAGATTACAGTCTACCATCCACCATGGCAAGCCAGAGCAAGAACTCAAGGCAGGACCCTGGAGGCAGGCACTGAAGCAGAGACCAAGGAAGCATGCTACTTACTGGCTGGCTTCCTCTGGCTTGCTCAGCTACCTCCATTGTACAACCCGGGCCTACCTGCCAAGGATGGGCAGCAGATGGAGTCCTCTTACATCAGGTAGCAATTAATAAAATCCCCCACAGGTATG